CGCCCTCGCCCTCGCCCTCGGGACTGAACCCAGGTCACTAACCCCCGAGCCACGTCCCCAACCCTTTTTATTTTTTTCTTTAGAGACAGGGTCTCGCCAAGTTGCTTTTGGGCCTCGCTCAGTTGCTCAGGGCGGCCTCCAACGTGCCATCCTCCGGCCTCAGCCTCCCAAGCCGCTGCGGTGACTGGTGCCCAGCTACAGAGATTTTTATTGTTTAGTCTTTTTTTTTTTTTCTGATTGATGTTAAGTGACAGGCCTCTGTGGGTGGGCAGCCTAGGACCCAGCTGGGCATTGCTTAGCTGCACAACGACGTCCCTGTCAAATGCACCCCGCGGGGGGGAAGGAGCCACCTGGCCTCGGCTCACCCGCCTGCTTCTGAGCCCCCAGGGGTCCCTGCTGGACCCTTGGCGAGGTCCTCCTGTGGACGCTGATTCTCTTCTGCCCCCAGCAGAATCCAGAGAAAATGGCATCTTTGTGTCCCCCGCGAGGGAGGCCGATTGTCACCTGGGCTGCATCTGGGGCTTAATTTATGCTCCCGTCTCTCTGCTTCCCGGGCGTCTGCAGCCAATCCGGTCATTTCAGCTGTCACGGCTGCCGGGCCCCCGGGGAGAACGCGGTGGCAGCTGTAATCTCCTTTGGGCACGTTGGGGACGCGGGAGGGAGCGCTGGGTGTTGAGCCTTTTCTTCCTCTGGTGACACAGGTGCCCGGGGTGATCACGGCAAGAGACACGTGACCGGGTTGCCAGGGTCCCCCTGGTCTGCTTTATTTAATCAGGTCTCTCGCCTGGTCAGGTCCAGCCCCGAGCGCTGTCCCCAGCCCTATTTTGCATTTTATTTAGGGACAGGGTCTCCCTGAGCTGCTCAGGGCCTCGCTTTGGTTGAGGCTGGCTCTGAACTCACGATCCTCCTGCCTCAGCCTCCCGAGAGCCACTGGGATGACAGGTGTGGGCCACCGTCCCCGGTCACGTCGTCGCCTAGTCATCAACTCCTACCCCCTGGGGTCTGCACACCGCCCCCTCCCCCCCCCCCAAAAAAAAAAAGTGACACTGCAAATTTTTGCAAGTGCGTCTCTCTGCACGTGAGTGACAGCTGAGCGCTGTCAAAAGCAACGGGTGTGGGAGGCTGTCACCAGGCACAGCTGGGTGGCCGGCGGTAATGAGATCCTGCAGCCCGGTTTGTCACTCCCGGGTCCCTAAGTGAGCTCCTTAATCCCCATCCCTGTCCTCTGCGGGGCTGGCAGGGGCTGAGCTCTGTTTTGCATGTCACACTGGATCTGGGCCACCGTCAGCGGCTCCCTGGGGACGTGGCTCGGGTCCTAGGCTGCAGGAAGCCCCCTCCGCAGCGCGATGCTCCGTTCACAGGCGGAACCGAGCCAGGCTGCGGCTCCCGGGGAAGCCAGGAGCAGAGCCAGCGGGAAATGTCACCCGAGGGGGGTGTTCCCCAGACGTCCCCAGCGGCTCCGGAGCTGTCTCCGAGCGCCTCCCCGCGAGCCGCGCGACTAGCTCCAAGTGTCATGAGAAATTCATTAGAAAACACGGGGACAGGGGGGTCCCAGCACCTTCAGACCCAGACAACGCTGTGATTTGGGGCACAGCTGCCCCCATATACAGTTGTCCCCGAGGATACTGGCTCCGAGACTCCCCCGGGGAGGCCAGCCAGGGCAGAGGCCGGAGTCCCCTCGGTGACCTAGCGGGGCTGCTGATCGCAGGTCACGTGCACAAGTCCCCCTTTATGGTTTAAATCACCTCGAAGAGGCCGTCTACAAAGGGACCTCGCTGTGTCCACAGTGGTCATCCCTCATTGCTCAGGGAAAAGAGAGAAGTCCCTGCGCGTGTTCAGAGTGGACACAAGGCTCAGGTCTTTTTTATTCCCCTGAGACGGGGACTGAACGCAGAGGGGCTTGACCCCCGAGCCACGTCCCCAGCCTTTTAATTTTTTTTTTTTTTTTATTTAGAGACAGGGTCTTGCTGAAAGGCTCAGGGCCTCACGAAGTCCCAGAGGCTGGCCTCCATCCTGCCATCCTCCTGCCTCAGCCTCCTGAGACACTGGGAAACCCATTTTTTCCCTCTTATTCCCCCCTTTTTTTGGAGTTGGGGTACCAGGGATTGAACTCAGGGGCCCTCGACCCCTGAGCCCCATCCGCAGCCCTATTTTGCATAGTGACAGCTGAGCATTGCTGTCCCACCACAGGGACATTCTACTGTCCTTCCTACCCCCTCCCCCTCCCCTCCCTTCACTCCCCTCTGACTAATCCAAAGCCCCTCTATTCTCCCCTAGTGCCCCCCCCCTTATTGTGAATTAACACCCACATATCAGGGAGACCACAGGGCCTTTGATTTGGGGGGATTGGCTTATGTCATTTAGCAGGATAGTCTCCAGCGCCACCCATTTTCCAGCAAATGCCATCATTTCGTTCCTCTTCATGGCTGAGTGATATTCCACTGTGTAGACATACCACAGTCTCTTTATTCATTCCTGTATTGGAGGGCACCTGGGTGGGTTCCGCACTTTAGCTACTGTGAGTGGAGCTGCTATAAACGTTGATTTCCTCTCGCCCCACTCAGAATGGCACCACCCAGAAGGCCAGTAGCTCACACCAGGCGTGGAACCACCCTGTGACCCAGAACTGATCCTGAAAAACTCAAGTCCTCTTGCTGCAGTGACCCCTGCACACACCCAGGTCCACAGCGGCACAGTTCACAGTAGCCAGACTACGGAACCAGCTCAGGGGTCCGTCAGTGGACATCCATTTCTGTCAAGAAATGTGGTCTCTCTGCACTCTGGAGTACTACTCGGCCGTGAAAAAGAATGAAACGATGGCATTTGCAGGAAAACAGATGGAACTAGAGACCACGAGGCTAAGAGAAATAAGTCCATCTCAGAAGGTCCAGGGCGGGCAGCTCGGAACAGGCAGGAAACCCAAGCAGCCATCAGGCTCCGGCCTGTGCTCTCGGGTAGAACCCTGGGGACAACAGGGATGGCGTCTGGACCGCGGCCCGGATTCCACCTTCTCCAGAACCAGCTACAAATCCTGCGTCAACGAGGAAATGCGCTCTGGGGCCGGCAGCTCGCGGGAAATCCGGGGCTGCGCTGCGGGGGGGCGATCCGTCCGGTTAGCAGAGCGGTGCATGAGGATGTCACCCCGAGGAGGACCTGGCAAAGCCAGCGCCGAGTGGCAGGTGCTTCCAAGCCCCAAAGGAGCCCCGGTCCTAGAGCCCGGGATACCGCCCTGAGCGCAACGCATGCACCCCGCGAGGCCCGAGCTGCGCACCAAGGGGCCTGTCCTCCCCGGAGCTCGGGAGGCTGAGGCAGGAGGATGGCGAGTTCAAAGCCAGCCTCAGCCAAAGGGAGGCCCTGAGCAACTCGGGGAGACCCTGTCTCTATTGCTGCATGTTCTAGTTTCCAGGGATTTTTTTTCCTCCATCACTAACTGTTCTCTAAAGAGTTTTTACCAACTTAATTTTGGGAGTTTGGGGGACACAGGGATGCTCCACAACTGGGTCAAACCCCGATCGTTTTTTAATTTTATTTTGAGGCCGAGTCTTGCTACGTTGCTTCGGGTTTCAGTGAGTTGCTGAGGCTGGCCTTCACCTCAGGATCCTCCTGCCTCGGCCTCCCGAGTTGTGGAATCACGGGTGTGCACAGGCTCCCTGATTGGATTCGGGGGATACTCACTTTCAAGGCCAAACCAGAATGGGGAAGAAGGTCGAAAATACCAGAAGAAACCGAAAGCAGAACAGGGCACCGATTTGGGGAACTGTCTACACCTCCGTCCCACAAATGGAAACTCCCAAGGAGCATTGATGCGTGTGAGTTTTCAAATCCACTGTGACTTCTTCTACTTGATAAAGACATGAAAACACCCCGTGCCCCCTGCAAAACCTGGAGGAACACGTGACAGTGGCCTCCCTCTGTTGGGTGGTCGGAGAAGATGCCCTTTCGCAACACTGGACGTGGTGGGATGGGAAACGGGTAGAATTCAATCCACTTGAAATGATTCGGTTATGAGAGGTGTAGACTAAAAGTGGATTAATCCACTTGGATGGACTCACTGGGTGGTGACTGCAGCAGGTGGGGTGTGGCTGGAGGAGGGGGTCCCTGGGCTGTGCCTTTGGGGTCTCTGTCCTGTCCCTGGTGAGCAGAGCTCTCTCTGCTCCCTGGTGCCCTGTCCTGAGCTGCTCTCCTCCTCCAGGCCCTGCCGCCATCTTGTTCTGCCTCCCCTTGGGCCAGAGCCATGGAGTCGGCCACCAGGGACTGGACCTCGGACACCAGGAGCCCAGGTCAACTCTTCCTCCGTGTTCTCTTTGGTGGGAAGGAGGTCAAGAAGCGGAAGAAAGTAGACCAGTGGTCACTAGCGGATGGGAAGGGCAAAGCCGGGGTGTTGGAGGGTGGTTGGATAGCGGGTAGCACGGTGCACTCTGACCCAAGGAGGGAGCTCCACAGACAGGGGGTGGGCCGTCCTCCACTAGAACCCAGTGCATATTCCACAGGTTTCCGGAAGAGATGGCGTGAGGGCTTCAAATGCAGACGTGACGGGAGGTGGACGTGCTGGATTCAGAACAGAACAGAACGTTAGCAGCATCAGGGGAGGAGAAATGGAATCCCCAGATGACCGGCCGGAATCCAGTGGACACACGCTTCAGAATCCCCTCCCTCCCCTCGAGCGTGCGTTGGACATCTCCGACGGTGGACATTCAATGATGGCGCTGACCCTTCCGCCAACTTCGTGTCCATAAAACAAAGGTGACCCTGGGTGGCCTTGGACGAATCCAAAGGAGACCTTGATAAAGAAGAAATGGTGGCGGCATCCAGCAGATTCTGGTTTCAGAGAGGAAAAGAAAGCACCGTGTTCCATGAAGACCCATGGAGGGAACCATTGGTCCAGAACCTGAGGGCAGGCTCCATTGAATGAGATCGACCCCGAGCCAGTGGCCAGTGAGAAGGACAGGACTCCAGCCCTGCACCCTCAGTAGACTGAGTTGCCCCAACGCCATGACAACATGAGTGTCCAAGAGGCTCGGCGGGTGGGTGATCATGGCGCCATTTTGAGGAGATCACTGGTGACCGTGGGTGCTGGGGAGACCATCATGGCGCACTCGGGCGATCGTACGGTACTGTGAACCCACAGAACATACAACATCGGGAGGTCACTCCGCAAAGAGGTCAACTTTGGGTAAATGGAGATGCCAATGTGGGTCTGTCCATTGTAACAGGGAACAGGGGGAAGATGTTGGTAATGGAGGAGGCTGTGCTATAGCAAGGGTTCGGGGGGTGTGGATAGTCTCAGTAGTTTCTACTCGATTTGGAGGTGAACCTAAAATTTTCCTAAAAAAAATAAAGTCTATTAAAAATCGACCAAAAAAAAATGACAATATTGTTGAGGGCATTTTCTAGTAACGTCTATCAGGTAGAGACCAGAGACGCTGCTACATGTCCCCATGATGCACAGGACAGACCGTCCCAGCACAAAGCAACCCCGTCCCCCGAGCTGACGGTGCCAAGGCTGAGAAAATCCTTTCTCCGCGCTAAAGAACGGAGCTGCTGGAGATTTCACGGCTCCGTGTTGTCCTCTTAAACACTCATCCCCCAGAAACCATACGGGCGGTGCTAACCCAGAAAATAGACGACCCCACCCGGGTTGAAAGATCTCGTCCCCGTCACGGAGGGCGGGAGACGGTGACGTGCCAACAGGTCCAGTGTTGACTTTTCTTCTGAGCCGCTCAGAAGGGCGCTGCCACCTTGAGTTTGTCTCATGTGTCTCTTGTGAAGTCGTCCTTCTGCCCTGGAGCAAAAGGAGAGCTCGCCGGATCCGCAGCAGCTCCGGCGGAGCCGAGCGTCCAGCCATCCATGATGACTCACGGGCCACAGGGAATCGTCTTAGAGGAGCTCAGAAGAAATCCTCTTAGCAGGAATTTGGGGCATGAGAGAGAAGGGGAGGGCCTCTTGGCTCATCCTGGTGGGAGAGGGGAGTCGGTCCTCTCTGCGCTGGGGGAGAAGAATCCGGAACACGTCCATACTGTTCTCTTTTTTTTTCTACTCTCAAATCTAGCTCCTTCTTAGCAGGAATTTTAAAAAATAAAATAAAATAAAGGGAGGGTCAAAGTGGACACACCATGGGTGGGGGTATCGTGGCCTGGACCCTTCCTCTCTCTGTTCGTTCCATGGCTGCCCCGAGCTGAGCTGCTACTCTACACCACACCCATCCGCCATGATGTTCTGCCTCACCTCAGGCACAGACCCATGGAGCCCTCCAACCGTGAGCCACTGGAAACCTTCCGTCTCTTTAACTCTATTTTTCTCAGGGATTTTGTCACAGAAAATGGAAAGCGCATAGCCCCTCACCCACTGGGGTCCCAAGATACCCGTCGTCACATGGAGTAGACGCCGTGTCCCGTGGAGAAACAAAGTGGGAACGTCCCATGGAGATGGAGACCCCGCGCCTGTGGACGGTCCCTGTGTTTACCTGCCTCTCATCCTAGGAAGGGCAGCTCGGGAGAGCAGGGCCCTCTGCAGCCGGGCATCCTAGAGGGATGACCTTAATCGAGTTAGACAGGCTGAACTGGGACACAAGGCGGCCGGACGCTTGAGCAAGCAACTGTGCATCCTGCACCACGGACAGGATCGAGGTGGAACATGCCCCGGTCTCCTCTCGGCTCCGGTCACCCCATCCAGGGTGCGTTTGAAATCTCGGCGGCCCCGAGGCTCACCTGGTTTGACCCCCGTCCGTTTCAGGATGAGAGCACATCGCCCAGGAAGGTCAGGTCCCAGATCCCACCCGGGAGCTCAGGTGGTCTGACTCTGTCCGGACGATGTGCCCATCTGTGTCCCAGTGTCCTCGATTTACAAGCACACGAGTCCTGTGACATTGGTGCTCCTCATGGCTTAGGTATGAGGTGTCCCCTAAAGGTCCAGGTGTGAGACAAGGCAAGAAGGCTCAGAGGTGAAATGATCAGATTACGATCATCCAGATGTGTTCCACACTCAGTGGATTAATCCACTTGGATGGACTCACTGGGTGGTGACTGCAGCAGGTGGGGTGTGACTGGAGGAGGGGGTCCCTGGGCTGTGCCTTTGGGGTCTCTGTCCTGTCCCTGGTGAGCAGAGCTCTCTCTGCCCCCTGGTGCCCTGTCCTGAGCTGCTCTCCTCCTCCAGGCCCTGCCGCCATCTTGTTCTGCTCCCCTTGGGCCAGAGCCATGGAGTTGGCCAACCATGGACTGGACCTCTAATTCCATCATGGAGACCCACCCTCGTGACCTCATTTAAACCTAATTACCAAAGGACCCGCCTTCAGATATCACCCCATTGTGAATTAGTGCTTCAACATATGAATTTGGGGGTGAATCACAATTCGATCCATAGAAGTTCATCATGGTGGATGAAACCTGTTCAACTCACGAAAGCTAGAAAGGAGGGAGAGGAGGAGTAGGAGGGAGGGGGAGGAGGAGATGGAGGAGGAGGAGGAGGAGGAGATGGAGGAGGAGGAGGAGGAGGAGATGGAGGAGAAGGAGGAGGAGATGGAGGAGAAGGAGGAGGAGGAGGAGGAGGAGATGGAGGAGGAGGAGATGGAGGAGGAGGAGATGGAGGAGGAGGAGATGGAGGAGGAGGAGATGGAGAAGGAGGAGGAGGAGGAGGAGATGGAGGAGGAGGAGGAGGAGGAGGAGGAGGAGGAGGAGATGGAGGAGAAGGAGGAGGAGGAGATGGAGGAGGAGGAGGAGGAGATGGAGGAGGAGGAGGAGGAGGAGGAGGAGGACATGGAGGAGATGGAGGAGGAGATGGAGGAGAAGGAGGAGGAGATGGAGGAGGAGGAGATGGAGGAGGAGGAGGAGGAGGACATGGAGGAGGTGATGGAGCAGGAGGAGGAGGAGGAGGAGGAGGAGGACATGGAGGAGGTGATGGAGCAGGAGGAGGAGGAGGAGGAGGAAGAGGAGGAGGACATGGAGGAGGTGATGGAGGCTCAGCATCCTGGTCCACAGGTCAAAGACTTCCACGGAGCCCTGTTGCTAACATATACACCTTTGAAGCTGCATGGAACTTGGAAACGAGGCTAAGGTATCTGTGTTACACTGGGGGCAACCTGACGTTGATGGGACCCGAGGACGTTATGTTCCATGACATAAGCCAGGGCCGGGTGTGGTGGCTCATGCCTGTCATCCCAGCGATTTGGGAGGCTGAGACAGGAGGATGAAAGTTGGAGGCCAGCCTCGGCAGTGTAGCAAGATTCCGTCTTGAAAATGCGCGAGCCCCGACTGTCAATCACGCCCCAATACAGCTGGGGAACTGTCAGCCCAGGGACCGCGTGCGATGCTGGGTATAGGTGACGAGGCACAGCCCTGATGTGCTGTGGACCTCCGCAGCCCGCTGCAGGGTCCAGGCAGGGCCCACTGTGACGTTCAGCTGGATTCCTTCCCTGGTGACCATGTGATGTGACTGTCCCAGAGAGCCACCAAAAGGTAGCAAATGGAAGCTCGGGAACCTATGTTCGTGGGCCTTCTGCAAATAGAATGTCAACCTGGAAACGACCCTGAGTCCATCAAGAGAAAGACGGGGGACAGACAGACCTGGGTGGTGGGACCCAAGGTCCAGGGGACAGTTCTATCAATGGCCCCTGGTGCTGACCCCACAGCCTCCTTCCCAGAAGCCCTGGACCTGCAGCCCTGCCTGGCCTCCAGGCACAGGCTCCGCCACCTTCCTCACACACCTCCTGTGACCTGCAGGGGACATGCAGGCGGGAAGTCACGTCCCTGAGAGGAGCCACGTGACCCTGAAGGGGGGACTTCTGGGACCCTGACGCAGACCAGGTCCTGGGACCCAGGGGGACCAGGACCCTTCCTCCAACCCTGAAATCTGCAAGAACAGGTTCCACTGAGAACCAGGCAGCAGGGACCAGGGTGACCCAGAGTGGCCATGGCCGTGGGGACTGGAGAGTCGGATGTCACCCTGCTGTCCGTCACAGTCAGGAGGGACCTCGGTGGGGCTCTCTGGGAACTTCCCTGGGACCCCCATAAAACTGGAGGGCAGGAGGGGCACGCTGTCCCTGTCCTCTCTGAGAGGACCCCTCTGTCCCTTGAGAGTGTCCCCTGCCCCTCTCCACCCCTTCAATACGCTCCTGCCTGTCACTCTGAGTGACACGTCTGACGTCTTGCTGGCTTCATGGCAAGGACCCGGGTTTGAAGGGGTCTTGGTGCTGCTCACCCTGATACAGGGTGAGCGGGCTCAGGGGCCGCCCCTGCAGGACCCTCAGGGACCCTCCGCGCCGCCCGGGGCCCAGGGAGGGGACTTCTCGGCGCAGCGGCGCCCCCTGCAGGCGGGACGGGGAACAGCGGCCGTCGGAGCCCCCGGGTACCGCGGACGCTCAGGGACGTCCATCACCCGCTTTTGCTCCCCAGCTGCTAAAAATGAATATGATTTAAGAGACTAGGAAGGAGACCCCTGGGGACAGGAGGGGACAGGGTGCCAGGCGGGGGGGCTGGGGAAGGAAGCCCCCCCAGGGTGCCCGGTCTGTGCCCATGCACCTCGAGGAGCACCCACGAGGGTGTGTGGTTAGATGATCACCTCTGACCATCGAGGACTCGCTGCCAGGACAGGAGGGGACAGGGGTGACCAGGCGGGGAGAGATGTGAGGCTGCTCCTGGCTCCTGGTGTGTGGGGCCCAGAGAGGCTGCTCCACCTCCTGCCGCGCACAGCACAGCCCACCCCAGAGCACCCCCAGCCCCAGAGGCCCCCAGTGCTGAGGAGAGAACCTGCCGTCAATCATGATGTTCCCAAGGGCCAGTCACGATCGTCACCGTGACAGAGCAGCCAACAACCTGACTCTCCGTGTGATGAAGCAGTGGGTCACGTGGATTGCAGGGTCCAGTGAACTTTGAGTTGTTGTGACCCCAATAAAACCATTTGGAGAAGGAGAATTTATCTGGGGCTCCTGGTGTCCGAGGTCCAGTCCCTGGTGGCCGACTCCGTGGCTCTGGCCCAAGGGGAGCAGAACAAGATGGCGGCAGGGCCTGGAGGAGGAGAGCAGCTCAGGACAGGGCACCAGGGAGCAGAGAGAGCTCTGCTCACCAGGGACAGGACAGAGACCCCAAAGGCACAGCCCAGGGACCCCCTCCTCCAGCCACACCCCACCTGCTGCAGCCACCACCCAGTGAGTCCATCCAAGTGGATTAATCCACTATGAGTCTACACCTCTCACAACCCACTCATTCCACTTCTGAACCTTCCTGCGTGGCCTCCCACACGAGGTCTTGGGGACCCCTCATATGCACACACCATGACTCATGCAGCAGAAGGGGACCTGGACAGCCGGGCAGCTGTCCCGTGGACCCCTCCCTGCGGTGCACCCTCCCAGCAGGGTCTGGTCCTCCCCGGAGTCCAACATGCCCACTCCCCTGAGCACCCTGAGCACCTGCGTCCCCACCCCACAAGGACCACAGCAGCCGCCCACAGGAGGGACAGCCGCCTTCGCCTGATTGACAGATGTGGAGCACGGTGTCCCCGCGGGTGAGACAGCCCCCGGGCTGGGCCCTCCGGCGGGTCTCCATCAGCTGTGGGGGAAGGGGACGGGGTTCTGTCCCCCCACAAAGGGATCGTGCCGGTGGCACTAACCAAGTGGCCCTGCAAACCTGTCCCCGTGCACGACTGCAAACAGGGACCTCGGAACCTTGGGCCACAGGGACCCAGCTGCAGAGCTGAGAGTCAGCCAGGTCAGCCCCGGAGAGCAGGAGGCCAGCTCCGTCCCCCGCTGGGAAGAATCGATGTGTTTGTGCCGAAGCCACTAAGCACCAGCCGGGTCTCCCAAAGGACAATAAAAGGGATCCGTTTGACGTCTGAATGGCCCCGGGGACACTGTCACCGTCACCCGATGACAGGGTGGAATCAGGAGCTGCAGGTGCAGGGTCTGGGAGCCCAGCGTGAATGACCCCCTGGTGGCACCTTGGACAAAGAGGGACACAGCATCTCTTCTTTCTTTCTCTTTTTCCCCTGGACCGATTCAGTGAGTGACCACAGGACATTTTCCCTTCTGTTGAAGAACCGAGTCTCCCTCATGGCATGGCTAATGACAAGCCCTTGGGGCCTTTCGGGGGCACCGAACACTGTCCCCTCCTGGGCTGGACTTGTGGGGCCGCCTGAGGGGTTTCCACCGTGGGCTGCGGGGACATCAGGGTCAGCAGGGGAACCGCTGTCCAGGGTCCCTGGAAACGACCGGAAAAATTCAGGGGCATCCTGGACCTTGTCCCTTGTCCCCTAGATCTGGGGTCAGAACCGTCCTGGGCTGGGGACCTGTGGCCTTAGATTCTGCTGGGTCTTTCCTTCTATTTTATTTATTTTATTTTTGGGTGATTTGGATCTTTGATGAGGTGGTGAGGTTCTTAATGAGCACAGTGATTTGCATATTCATAGGACATTCATACATATTCATGTCTATCTTATAGTATATGTTTATATGCTAATTTATAGGTAAAAATTTATATGATTCAGTCACATGAAATATATTATTAAACTATATAAAATATATTATTAAATTTTGTTATATAATCATATTATTATAAATAAAACTATGATATATAATTATACAATGATATATAAAATTATAAAATATGATTAATAATATATGAAATCATGACATATAAAGCTGTAATATGTGATTATATAAAATATATAAAATTATAATATATAACATATAAAACTGTAATGTATGATTATACAATAATATATGAAATTATAATACATAATTATATAATGATATATAAAATTATAATATATGAATTTGTAATATACAATCATATAATAATATATAAAATTACAATATATAAAACTGTAATATGTGATTATATAAAAATATAAAATCATGATATATGATTATACAATGATATATAAAATTATAACATAAACCTGTAATATAAAATTATACAATAATATATAGAATTATAATATATAATTATATAGTGATATATAAAATTATAATATATAAAACTGTAATATATAATTCTATAATAATACGTAAAAGTATGATATATAATTATAGAATGTATTTTAAATTACAATTTGTCTTATATATAATAACATATAAGATATATTATTAAATATATTATTAAATTTGTAATACATATATTATCATTTCATATTAAATATATTATTAAACTATATAAAATAAAATTATGTTGTATAATCATATTATAAATAAAACTAGGATATATAATTATACAACAATATATGGAATTATGATATGTAATTATATAATGATATATAAAATTATGATATATAAAACTGTAATATGTAATTATATAATAATATATAAAATCATCATATATAGTCATACAATAATATATAAAATCATTATATATAATTATAGAATTATTTTAAGCTATAATATAATCATATAATAATATACTAAGATATATTATTAAATATCTTATTTAAATTCATAATGCATATATTATTAATTCATATTAAATATATTCTTATTAAATACATTATGATATTTATATTATAACTCATAAATATATTTTTGATTTATAGTTTTACATATTTTATAATTGTGTATCTTTCTATATTTCATACATGTGGTACATTTTATAATTTATATATGCATTTTTTATTTTTAATTTATATACATAAATGTATACATATGAATTATATTTTAAAGTATATTTAAATGTGAATTAAATACATACTAAAAAATATAAATGTATGTATTATCAATAAGTTTTATAAAATCTATGTATATGTTTTGCTGAAGTGGATCAGGGATTGGACTCAGGGACCCCCGACCCCTGAGCCTGGTCCCCAGCCCTATTTTGCATTTTATTTAGAGACAGGGTCTCCCTGAGCTGCTCAGGGCCTCGCTGTGGCGGAGGCTGGCTTTGAACTCGGGATCCTCCTGCCTCAGCCTCCCCAGCTGCTGGGATGACAGGTGTACACCCCTGCACCAGGCTAAAATAGATTCTCCCATATCTTAATACATATATAAAATTGATATATCACCTTTATTAAAAATCGACCTATAAATCTATGTAGCATTTTCACATAAATTCCTGATGATACAAATTCATGGTCGACTCACACATAGATCTATGATCGACTCATACATAAATCCGTGTTCCATTCACATATCAATCTACAATTATTTCACAAACAAATTTACATATTTATTCATAAAATTCATAATTTCTTAATAAGCATAATAAGAATGCGTTTTTTTAAAAAAATAATGCACTGCCAATGACCCACAAGGCGACACCACGTCTAAGTCACGGGTGGGACTTTGGGCAGAGAGGGACCCAATATATTGATATTGATATTGATATTTGTGCATTATCTTCTACTTTAGATGTGGGAGGGATGTTCTCACATATAAATGAAAAGAAAAAGAAAAAAACACATTTAATTCGGAAGCCACTTAGTCGCTGCTGGTAGAGACTGTGCCCCGAACGTCCCCACACTCAACAGGACAGCAGCCCCATTAGCTGAGATGCATTTTATTCTTCAAAACGAAAGAAAAGACGGAAAACCTCGGTCCGAAGCCTTCACGGGCTGCACGCGGGCCCCTCCCTTGGTGGACAGAGGCACTGGCCCAGGTGCATGTCTGTGTGGAGCAGCTTGTCCCCCACCCGCTGACCTATCCACCAACAACACTCTGTGGCCAGCCACAAATGGGCTCCCGTTAGGCTCAGACGGTGACACTCGCAGGAGCTATTTGCTGTTTCTGCACAGAGGATGGGGCACCCTGGGGCTAAGCCCTGAACCATGGCCATCTCGGAGACTGCGGTCTACAAGCTGGACGCCTGGAGGGGCTGAAAAGAGGACGTTGGGCAGTCACACAGTGACCTGGGGGAACGGCTGCCATCTCTTCAGTGATCTCCGGGTGTGAAGGACTGTGCTGGTCAGCGCCTGCTGGACCATCAGTGCAGCCCTGAGGTCCCACCAGGGCTGCAGACTCCTGTCAGGGAGCTAGCGGGGGCTTGGCCACCTCTCGGTCTCTCCTGTGGCCGAGGCCCAAGCAACCCCTGGGCCAGGAGGGGACCTCACGGTGCAGCCACAGATCACCTCTGCATGTGGCTCAGAGCCAGGCAGTGCCCCTGGGGACGGCGGAGCTTGGGAGCCACCACAGGGCCAGCAGAGCTCACTGGGTCTTGTCCACCCCAAGAAGAAGTCTCCATCTACAATCTCTGCAGAGAAGCCTGAGCTGTCACCAGAGAGGACAGGTCTAGGCGTCCTCCTTATTATTACCATCATCATCATCATCGTTATCATTATCATTATAGAACTGTGACAGTCACGGCACTATGATCGCCCGATCACGGTGACACTGTTGTTATTGCTATTATTATTTTTTCAAACTGATG